ATTTCGTATTTATTGGAACCAAAACACGATAAGCAAAAGGAATAAATATTCTACTCCACCAAAGATCGTTACTTTTTTGGAGAATATAATAGGCTAGAAAATATTCTTTTTTTTTAACAAAAGAAAAAAATCACAGCTCAGACACGTTATTTTCCAATCTTACTACTAGCACAAATTGCATAGTCGTTCAGCGTAACGATCAATGCCCGTTAGATTACTATTCTTCCGCATTTTGCCTGCGGTTTCTACGCTTCACTGCGGGTGGATCGGGAGTTTTGTTGTATTTATAGCCAAAACTGCGACCAAGTGATCCGCAGCGAAGTGAGGGGGAACATTTGTGTACACAGTAGTGGCCAACCTCATTAAGTGACCGCAGAGCACCTCGACAATGGTAATTAAACTTCTACTGCTAATTCAGACGTTCTTTTGGAGCACACTCTGCCTTTGACTTGATGCGTGTTTGCCACTCGGGTGGGCGTCCTAAATAAAGGGTCGAGTTGCATTTGCGACCATCCGCTCAGGGCATACTAGTACAGGTTGAACCTGAAAATATTGCCAGACTCATGCGTTCCGGTATCTAGGCTTTTGAGTGATAGCCTAGACATGTTTACCAATTGCCACTTTTTCTGAGCAGGAAATGTGCAATATGCCCGTTCAGATCAGAGACGACACTTTACGTAGCGGCCACATTCATGTCGTCACGCCTAGGGCAAATCTCTTTCTCTGCAAGGGGAGTTCGTGATTGATAAATGAGATTCTTTCCCTTTGGGTTCTTTTATCCCGTGATTTTTTCTACCATTTTCACATCATTCACCTCATCGTGATTGCATTATACCATTCTATCTACATTTATTGCGGCAGATAGCTTATTCTGTAATAGGCCATTCCAAGGATTCCACTTACAGGAATCGACAATACAATCAATTCTGAATATAATTTCATTCCAGATATGAGACTGATGTAGAAGAACTTCGAATTTTTTACGGTAAATGAAAATGGGGGTAGGAATTTTCTATTCGACTATTGCATGTCAACAACAATCCGAAGTTTCCTACCATTTCAGCAATGTTGAGAAGAATTCTGATGGAAGCTCGTCAGTCTATCACCCAAATCATCCGCCAATATCTTATCTAATAAAGATAATCTCTTGACACATTAGATAAGAATGCTACTCGCGAGCTAGAACGTCAGTGATTTAGATTATTTAAAACGTATTTTATTGTTGTAATTTTAAATTGTCATGAAATGTAATCTGAAACACGTTTGGTAACAAACATGAGCTTCGCGTATTTCGCGTGGAGTGGCTGACGTTCAGTGAGAAAAACTGGGTGACAGTTCCAACGTTATATTCAGAGCTTGTGCCGGATGAAAAAGAGAACCATTTGAATCCCTCGGCCGACCTTTTTTGTAATTAGTTTCAATTTATTCAAAACAACCACCACATAATCATCTCATCACAATAAAAAGATGTATGAACATAAACTATTAATATAAACTTTTATTTCAAGATAAATTCATATTCAAAAAATTCAAAACAATTTGTTTCGGAGAGAAGTTCGAATAGAAATAATCCTCCCCAGAGATTTTTTCTCAATCCGCCCCTGGCAGCATGCAGCATTCGGATTAATAAGTGTCCTTTTTTCAGACACCTTTGGGCCACCTGACACGGTAATCCCAATGGCGCTGACACCAATAGATATTTATGCGCAAATCACATAAGGGTCGTGAATATTCGAGAGGGGCACAGCTTACAAGTACTGTTACAATGAATGCATACATACGCAAAATCGACGACTGCTCAATGAAATAACTTATAATAATCATACATGATTGAAAATTGGTTCCAAGCGCGCGGACTACTATTTAGTCCCGTACGTATAGTGCATGTTATATCCCGGGAGGCTGTGTTTTCCACTGAAACATGAGATAACAAGTTGGTATGTGCCATCGCGCGAGGTCCGTAGTCCGTTCGTTAGAGTACTGTTCCGATAATTGTCTTGCATTGATCGGAGAAACAATGGAAAAATGGCAATCAGAACAGCCGGTCGCTAGAATTCTCCTCCAGACAATGAATGAATTACACCTACTAACGAAAATCCGCCACCATCGGGACTCGATGCCTAGGATATCCTTGTCAACGATGATGCCAAAGTAACAATGTTGCCGCTGAGATGTAGAATACGTAATTCGGTAGTCATACGTAAACGACACATATTGTTCGTATAACATGCGCTCCCACTATCTCATGAATACACCGCTGGCACTGCACTGGCCGAGAGCCGTTTGCTACCTTTGACATCGGAGCCGCGTGTTGCCTGTGTAGCTCTCAGCGCTGCCCGCTGCAGCTGCAACTTGCACATGCACCCCATCCCCTGCCACCGCCCCGGGCTCTCCCGCCTCCTTCCCAACTGCCCTCGACTATCCCACCTGCAGACGCCCAGCCCACCTTGCCGAGCTCTGCCCTGCCCCGCCCCTCCCCACGACCTCGCAATTCAACACCCGGCCCCGCCTCACCACCGCGATGCACCGCCCCCGCTCGCCCCGCCACCCTCCCTTTCCCCGTGCACGCTGCCTGAGCCACCCCCTCCCCGCCTACTCCCTGCACCCGTCCCTCCAGCGCTCTTCCGGCACACTGTCCTCGTCCTCGTCATCGAGCCGCCCCGGCCCTGCCTTCCTTTCAGGCTGGACAGCGAGCGTGATCGCGTGCACGCCTCCGCCGCCGCCGGCCCCCGCCGCCGCCGCCGGCCGCCGCGACCTGAAGGACGTGCAAATGCGGCGACACGTAATGAGAGGCCACTTGGCGCACGCGCTGCTCCTGGATTAGAGCGGCATCGCGGTTTTTATGTGTTGTCGCCTGCGCGGACGCACTAACGAGAAATGTTCACAACGGTAATGCATTGCGTTTCTCCATCACTCTCGTCGTAAATGATACGTCGGACCAGAACTTAGAAAGGCAGGCATTGTGAGGTTCCCATCCTGCAGATGCTACGAATTACGAGCCGAAAGAAAAGGTTCTGCGTATAATCGTCGATGAGCGACTGCTGTAGAAAAGTGAGAAGAGAAAACAAAATACTATTTCCTTCGAAGGTAAGGGAAGGGTGTACGAATACAATCCATGAGAGTATTCTGGTTCAAGAATGTTAGTCACTGAACGGGACTAATTTTCAAGGAGTTTCACTGCATTGCAAATGATGACAAGTTTCAGCGAGTGTTTCCCCCCTCTGAGTTATGAGACGACATCGGGAGAATAAGACTTCCCAAAAATTTTAATTGAAATACATTTTGTGAATTTTTGAATCCACTTAACTCATGTAATTCAAATACGCCTTGTTTCCATCGAATATTAATTCGTTAGTAGTGTTACTGCAGTAATCAACCAGCAATCTTTATCAGAAACCCCAACTTGCCATTATTTAAAATCCTCCATCTGATAATTTTTCACTCAACAATAAGAGGGTACAACAACTTTCTTGAGGGTACAATCTTCAGACATAATAACAAATTTTAAACCAATTGGTATACTACAATTTGTAGACTCTTTCAGCAATTACACGGGATTTTTTTATCTAATAATCCAACTTGGATGAAAATTGGAGTCATCTATAATTTGGTGGATAGCAGTATTTAATTATCACAATATCAGTTCCATCCTGATAATTTAAAAAAATTAAATAAATCATTTTCGACAACCTCTATCCAGAGAAATTTATACTCAAACTAATAAAAAATATTAAAGATATAATACCTAAACATACCATGATAAATATAGTGCATGACGTTGAATATAATGATTGTGAATTAAACAGAGAATAACAGAATATAGAAAAAATATCAAAGTCGTCACAAGTAGACAGAATTCAATATCCCAACATAGAATTAACATAAATCGTACAAAAATTTTGATCAGTTTAATATTTTAACGGTAGAACCCAACAGAAATAAGAGATTAATGCTAGAAACGTTGAATATATTTGTAAAAACACAGAATACTATGTATAAATAATAAAATACAATCAGTTTACAAAGATTTATGACAACATACTGAATAATTTTCGACAATAATAGCCCCGTTTTTTTAACATTAGGATCAAGCACTTCGAAATTACACCTTCAACTATCTCTTTCAGTTCCTTTACTCCTTCAACATTGCAAATACTCTATTTAAACGGTCAACGGAAATGCGGCTGAACAGCACTCCACCACGTACTTAAAATTCAGATATATTTGTATATAATTTGTATATATTACTTTTAGTTTTTAAGATATAATAACAAATGAGCTTTCATTGAATTGGGTACAGGGTAGATTAAGTTATTATTTTTTTGTATTTTTTGTGAAAATCGTTGTGGCACTATCATTTGAACTATTTTATAATTAAATTTTGAGTTGTACCTGATGAGGAAAAAAAAACAGTTTCTGAAACGACATGTGAATTCATAAATAAATAAAATTATGTTGCAAAACGTTTTTCGGAAGTATTTATTGTGGTTTCCCAAAAATTAAAAAAAAGACTGAACAGCATGTAAACAGAATTATACGTGACAACCAAAATGAAATTAAATCTTATTAATTACTAAATTATGCACTTGCTTTATCCATTTTTACTTTCTTGCTATTGAGTAAAGAGAATGTTTCATTGTCTGAAAAAACGGATAAATGTAGTTGCTAAAATGAGAAAAAAATCCTCTAACAGGCGGTGTAGCCGGAATCCATGTTTTGGGGGTCCATCATACCGAAAAGTTGAATAACGGCAAATCGTCTGCTTGTCCGTCTCTGAGGTCTCTGAACAACGCCAGCGGCTGAACTGTTCAGCAGATATTCTCCAAAATGGATATTACCTTATTAATTGGATTGTTGGTGAAGTAGATACCTTTTTATTATGATAAATAAATAAGATATTGTCAGGTATCAATATTTTAATTCAACTTATGATTATTTCGATCGCGTAGCGATCATCCTCAGAGCTTGCAGCTTCTGGGCCGAAAACAAAGTTCTTTGCAGAACTTTGTTTTCGCACTTGGTACTTGCACTTGCTGAAGGAGGTTGCACGCGTAATCCGAGGTGGATTATACACCTAAAAAATCTGAGAAAAAAATTAAAGAAATTATTGAAGGCAGTTTTGAGGGATATCTGAGAATATTTCAGAATTAGAAAGAAATATTTTGGGAAATGTATTGAGTTCATTCTTTTTGCCACAATACTTTTATCGAAAATGCTATATATGAGCGGAATCGCTGTACTATTGATTTAATTGCTGTACAGTTTATTCTATTATGTTTTTCATACTCGTTGCTACATCGTCTTCTTGACAAGCAAAGTCATTGAAAGATTCTCTTTGATTAAATAATATTATTTAATTGTTATTAATAATGAAATAATATTAAATAACAAAAATAACTATTATTACTAATATTATTAGAATATGCAAAGACAACACCTCTAAATCTTTTATTTCAGAATGTTGCTTGAGATGGTTTAACATCGATTTGCGGCCCGGGCGAAATGGTGTTGTGGTCAAACTACTTGCCATCTACTTGTGGAATTTTGGTTCAATTCCTGGGCGATTCATATTGAATTTATGGTAGAAAAAGCGGGATCACTGCTGGTTTTATCGTTGTCCTCCAGTTTTTTTTCAGCCTCTCATTTCAGCAATACTTCATTGTCATATATTTTCGTAATTACCTGTCCATCTAATCATTTATCCAGTCCAAATTTGACCATGTGGTTTGGTCCTTGCTATTGAAATAAAGAATGTGGCTCCTGCGGGAATCGATTTCGAAAATTGATTTCCCTGATCAGTGGTTTCCGTAGGTTCCCTCTTTATTTCTACCTTTATGTCGGAGCTGCAATTACAATGGGCCCCGGACCGCGCGCATTTAACCTCCAAATCTCGTCCCTTCGTATCCCTCGTCGCCAGTTGCCATAATAGTTTATGTGCTTTAAAACCACAATCAAGTGAAACCTCTCACCCCATCACCGTTCCGTGCAATAGTTCCCCTCTACCGACCTCTAGCGACCCGTTCATCAGCCCAGATCGTAAATCTGTCGCTGCCAATACCCTGATGTCCATATTGAAGGAACAATGTAGCAGGTAGCGACAGCGACATATTTACAACGTATAATGAGGGGTGCCAGCCAGGCTCGCCACACATTCGTGTCACACTCGTATATGTCCACCTTAAGGCTCGGCCCCTCCACATTCCTCCTCACAGCGCTCTCGCTTGCACCGCGCCTGCTCGCCCTCGTTCTGCTTTCTGACCGACTGAATGCAACTATTGAGTTTGAAGAATTTACCTGGGTTCAGATGTGCGGTGCGCTAGAACCTCGTTGTCCATCGGTATCAACGTCCCACCTCCATTATCGCCGTCCTTAAAAGTGCAAAGGAGAAGTGGACCCAGAAGCCCGTGGCTACTCATCGTAGGTGTGCGGACAAGAGGGGGTGGCAGTGGAAAGTTTTGAATATAGCCTCACAGAATGAAACAGTTTATTGCTGTTAATTTGGCAAAGCTCTGATTTTCCTTTTTTGCACGCTGACAGTTTGGAGAATTGTTATACATTTGGAGAAAACTATATCAATGCCATGTGGCAACTCTGTAATGATTCAATGTATATCAAATGGATTTATTAATTTAATCGTTATGGTTATAATGTCATTCTCCTTGTGGAACGTTTTATTTATTTACTAGTATATTATCTCATATGCAAGAAAAAAGTTAAATGGAAAAGGGGACTATGAAATACAGTTGCCCCCTCTCACGTTTTAGGCTCCGCACGCCTATTTTACACATTCTACTAGAGCTTCCTCCTCCCCCCCCCACCCTCACAGCTTTCTCTTTCGTCCTACGTGCTATTCTGCTCACCTTCCAACCCTACTTCTCCCCTCAGTCCCCGCCCCCTGCCCATTCCTCCTTTTAGTTCTCGCACCTCCCCCCCCCGCCCCTTCCCACAGGCCGCGCGCACAAAAGAGCAGGCATGCGTAGCCACGAATAAACAAAAGCTCTTTTTATTCGGGGCGGCTGAAACGCGCGTGCGCGTGTGCGTCCCTCTCCCCGTGGTGTACGGGCCCCACAGCGCGCCCTCCCAAATTTTGTTCCCTGAGTCTGCATTGCCATTGGCGCGTTCCAATAGATAGCGTGTCACAAAGGCGACAATGCTCCGCTCTTTTTTTTTTTTGTCAACGCGCCTTTCTCTTTGCGCCGGAGGAGGTAACTTAGGGAAAATACAAAACAATCCGCGCCAGAATATTACCGATGACGCGACGCGTTCGGTGTGAGCGGGGTGCGGGAAATCGCCCCAGGGAGGCCGATTCCGCGGGGGTGCTAAGCCAGGTGAGAGGGGGTTTTCCGTCATTTAGATTTTATTAACATCGGGCAACCTGGAAAGTTGTATGCGGCGTTGCGTTGAAGTGCAGCTCGATGAATCCGTTTCCACGGTATCGGTAAAGACACTAGAAGAATATTTATTTTGGGAGTGCAGAGGCTGATCGACACTCTAGCATTGCTCCTGATTGGCAATTAAAACTACTTTTTAATGTGTGAAAATTTTTGATCCACATTAGCAAATAGAGAACAGAATTTTGAGCTTGATTTTAGAAATATACGTTAAAGGAAAACAACTTTAAATTCCCTTTATTTACTGATTGATTAAAATAATTATTTATATCACAAGATTTCTCTGCGCTTTTTAAGAATTAAATCGTATAGAAATATAATCATATACTGTTAGGCTCAAATGTTCCTTGCAATATTGTATCCGCCAAGTGAATACATCGTATCTCCCGTGTCTTAGTGTAAATACTGTAATATTCAAGTCGGTGACTTAAGGTGAGAAAAGTAGGGGAACAATGTAGTTGATAGATCTGGAAAATCGTGGAAAATCTACACAAATGCTGAAGACAATATTGGAACCCGTATTAAATCGGACTTAATTATGACCACCAGTTTCCTCAGAGTTGTGTAACTATTAAAGGCAGTGATTTCAGCTTCTTAGGAACTCACAATACCATGGCCCCATCGTTGGCAAACATGCCAATCGGCGCCTATCACCCGAACAGTCAAGAGTAAATAAGACTTCGGGCATTGAAATCTACGTCCTTGCTTCTGCAAAGTGCCAAGGCCACTTAAGGGCGATTATCACATTCCCCCATGATTAGACATGTGTAATGCAAATGACAAATAACTCTCTGTAGCAAATGCACATACTGAATGCATCGAGCATCGACTCAGATAATGATAACTTGGTTCTAACCGATTTAAGTTCAACGTGTTCGATATGGACGTATGCACTATAGGGCAGGTATGGTCACTTGCCCTCGTTCTAAAATTCATCAAGGTCACAAAATAAATGAACACTACAAAATATATTCGTGAAATACATATTTTTTCAAACAATATATTCGATTTTTTAAATTTAAATAAACGTACAATACAAGTATTTACTATAATATTAATGTATAAAACTTTTTATTCAAGCACAAAACTCACCTTGCCGTAAAACACAGGCCATGATCTCCGTCAACGTGGTTTCTAGACTGTTACTTTTGAATCTTAGGAGTACATTGATCATTGTGTTGTCCACTACGATGTCCTACTTGTTCTACTACGATCATTGTGTATGGTTGGATACCATTTCCATACATTTGGTTGGTAATAAATTCCTAATAGAAAGTTTTAGATTATTTAACTTACGCCCCAACAAATTATTGTATATTTTAGTGGCTTCCTCCAGCATAAATAAGTCAAATGTGACACTCACCGTAGAGCTCAAAATCAAGTGTTGATATGTATCGCGAAGGAATTTAACTTGCTCGTTTCCCTCTCGAGACCGTTCATTTCTGCTCTACTTGCCTCCCTCCGTTGCCAGAGGTCTGTGAAATATCCTCGTCATTCGACTGTCACCAGCGACATTCATTGCTCTGCTTGAGCTGCCCTTGCCACGGACGATGGCAGCGAAATCGCGCGGCGTTCAAAGCCTTCTTTATGACGAACGCCCATCAATTGAAAATATTCCCGATTCCATTGTTCTCTTTCATGTGAAGCATATAAATAAAACCTTTCTCCCTCATAAAATACGCAACGCGTCGGTGTGTGATAAGGTCGGAGGTTACCTCGCAAGGTGTTCAGACACAAAAGCCGCGAAGCATTTAGAGTTTCACAGTTTGCAGAGATTTCGATGAGAGATATATATGTTCCCTTTCTAAAATGAGCTTAATTTGAAACAGTGAGAAAACATTTTATCATCGAAAATAGTATTGTGTAATGAGATAGAATACTTTGCTGTACTTGGTTTTACTCGTAGATAGAAAGTAAAACGAATGTACTTGTATTTCTGTATTTAGCGTAGTAGATGATGTAAGAAAACATTGTGTGAGCCAGACATTTTCGAAGACCCACCGTTATCCGAATCGCGGTTAAACGAGGGTCCGCGTACACCGAGGCAGTCATCTAAAAAGGAACAAAATTGCGCATTAAACTAGAGGCCCGAAAGCAGAATGTACTTTCTCGCTGGTATTTTCACGCAAAATTGCCCGAAAAGTACACAAAGGTTCGAAAAATAGTAAATGACCTTCAGACCTACAAAGTTGGTAGCCCTGCGGGTTTGAACGATGAGATAATAGTGACGGTGAGGCATAAAAGGACTGCACACACGCATATAGACATACAAATACACCCATGCCCGAGGAGGAACTTGAACCCTCGGATCAGAGATCCGAGACCGCTGAGGCACTACTGCCCTAAATATCTCATCCATCTGTTTCTCAGATATAGCAAAACAGTCTTATAAAAATGGCGCAGGTCTAATTTTCGTTGAATTCTTGTCTAAAGCCATTACTTTGTTGAATTATACACATATGATTATAAAATATATTGTAAATATCTAATTGTTGGCCTATCTAGGCTTAATTAATGTTAAATTAAGGTAGCCTATTCTATCACCAAGTTATCATACTTAATTGCAGAATTAATAATAAATGCAAACGAATCTAATAAAAACAAGAATTTTTTTCATAATCTGATGAAATGTTAATTTTCAAGAAATAGTCAACGATTTGCGAACAACGATATATTTTACCTCTTTAACTAAACTTAACTTTATACTAATTTTATTTTATAATTTCGTCTGTACTTCTCTAAGCGATGATTGGCTTTGGGGATTGAAATGATTCCGTTGATTCCAATCGCGAGAATGACGGACAATGCCTGCTTTCGCTAGGTAAATCAAGATTCATGGTGATTAGCATGCATAAAAAGCAAAAAGTACTCCGTGAACATTGAAGGTATTCTCTATTGATTCTACATGTATGGCTTCATGTTCTGAATGAATGAACGATAAAAATCATTTCCGCGTCGAGTAACCTTCAACAAGGTATTCATGACGCTCGTACAAAAAAAGGTTACTCACTTCACTTCAATTTGCAAGTATTTCGAAAACCGATGTCCTTTAAAGATAAGGAATCTCATCCCGTGCAGCGATGCGCATTGAATCGTTCATTGAATCATTTAAATACAAAAATCATTTAAGTCTCATGTAGACAATTTGTAAAATGTCTAAACTAATGACACAATAAGTAATAACACAGAACCCTGAGAGCGTTGAGGCTTGGGGCAGCGTTCGAGTGGGCGAAAACAGTATGATTGCTTATTTCGTGGCGTGCCAACTGCTATGGTTATTAGTCCCGAATGTCTAATGCACGTTTAACGGGTGGTGTTCTACCCCCACATGATGATGAAATCTAGCGCCGACCTACACATGAGCTTCCAGAGTTTATCCACGTATCTCCCCCTCAGAGTGACACGGCTCCAGCCGGGGATAAGCTCTAAACTCTCCACTGGTCTCTCAACAACGTGCGGTAGTGTAAGTGTTCTTTGTAAGGACTGAGGATAGGACAAGGAAGAAGAGGGAAAGATCGCGCGTTATATACTGCTCCGGCATTCGCCTAGTTCTGATAGGAAAAACCACGGAAAACTATGAGAGCGACTGGTCGCTAGAATTCTCCTCCGGCAGTCTGAATTCGACCTAGGTACCTAACAATTGTCGAAAATCTTACCAACGTTGGGACTCGAACCCCGGGAGTTCCCGATCAGATTGAAGTGCCACCAGCTGATGCCCTGTGCCACCTCTACTGCTCCGCAACCGTACACTCTGATGGGCGCCGCACAGCGCAAACGTTACGCACCCGGAAAGCGCCGCGCCCAGGTGGCAGTTGGGAGAGCGCGTCTACAGGTAGAACTCCTTTCAATTAGGCGCGAGTCTTTTCGAATACCTTCCTTTCGACCACTAGTCTTTCCCAAAACGGTCGTTGACCGGAAGAACGGTGACACATGTGAAAAGCAGGACGCGCGTTCGAAAGTTTTTGTATTGCACGATCTCGTACTTTTCTCGAATTTATGTCCCTTGATGAAACTTATTTACCATGTATTTCCTCGCAATTTAAGATTCATTTAGTAATAAATGTCACTTTCTCGTCCAAACGTGTTGCTCTCATTTTTTGTATCATATGGCATAATCTTACACATAGCAGTATGACTTATTATTTATTTTATTTTTATTTAATAGGTAATTATTACAGACAAAATTAGCTTACTTGATCCTATGTGGCTAGGATCGTAAACGTAATGGCTTAAAGGCCGAAGGCCTTTAAGCCATTACAATACCTACATCTTTTCGCGTTCTAATCTTTCGAATTCTGGTATTCACCCCAAATGGTCTCTCCATCGTATCAAAGCCGCGGAAAAGAGACCATGAAGTACGGCTCAGGAAAAAACCCCTGATGGGGGAAAAACCTGCCGTCAGAAGCCGAGTACATTTAATCTATCCGACGTTTATTTTAGCTATATTATTTTCTGGCGCGGGCGTCCCGCCGTCTCCTTCCAGTGCATGGCCTCCTCAGCACCTGAAATCAAACAGCGCCACAGAAGATCGTCCGCACCAACGCCTCTGCCTTTATATTTTCGATCCCCCCTTACCTTCCCCCCCTAATGTGCTTATTACTATGCCAGTTTTATTTTATTTATTATTTTAACATTTTACTTACCAATTAACTATGACTTATGACTTATTTCTTAACTGTTAATTACTTAACATAAAATTACTGATTAACTTACATATTGTTAGCTTATTGACTTATTTATTTCTCTCCAGTCTAGGCTCCGCTCAAGCTAACCGGTGCTGTTTTCCCTATGACTTATTACAAAACATATCACTTACAGAACAAACAGGAATGTACACTGCGGTAATCGCCAAACCTTAAATCTATTTTCTATCACCTACTGACGTAGATTTAATATAAAATTAGTATAAAATTTAAGTACCGATGACAGTGCTGGAGGACTCTGATACCGAAAATGTAGGTTTTTAAAAATAAATTTCTGTCAATCTGTCTGTGAACAACACTGGCGACTAAACCGCGGGACAGGATTTTCCCCAATCGACAAATGTAGCTTCACTATCTGTGCACGTTATTAGAGATTAGCGGTGAATATGCTTATTCATCAGCACTCGTTTTACTTTCACATTTCATTCTGTGTCAATATTGGTGCTGCCATCTAGTATTAAATTCACATTTTTCCTCATGGGAATGTACGGATTCCCTCCGGAGGAATAATAGAAGAAGGCGTACGGATTCCCTCCGAACGCCTTCTTCCATTACTTTATGTACGGCACGAAATATAAACTAAATAGAAAATTGGTTTTTTGAAGTAAAATAAACAATGGATTTTTACGTTATCAATGCGTGAAGAGACTCAGTTGAAACCAGTAATTTTGATTTGAATTTAGGTGACATCACTTATCACTACTTATAATTGAGTGTGATCATGAAACGTTTTCTCGTTTATCCTGCTTCCGTTTTTCATTCATATTTTCAATACTTGACATGTGAAACCATCAGTTACTCTCAAAGTTGCTGATAACACGGTCTAACCACTTAAAGCAAGTGTGCCCTGAAGAACGTTTATAATGGAGTAGAATGAAATCACAAACACATAGTGATCAAAACTGTAATTGTTATTGGTGAACTCATTGAAAGAGGAAGACCAATTAGCTGAAACGATAATAGAAACAAATAGAGCAATTTAGAAGAGAAGGAAGGTAAATACTTATGCTGATTGTATATTTAAGTGAGTGCCCCACTTAAACAGCAGTGGGTATGTGGATGATACACTGATAATATGCCCCCACAGCCCTCACACCTTAGTTGACTTCCTCCAGTATGTCAATTACACCCACTTCAAAGTTACGTTGTCTGTGGAGATGAAAAAGGAAGGCAAATGGTCTTCCCTCGACGTGTTGATGAGCTGAAAACCTATCGCCTATCTATGGCATAGTGTTTACCGGAAATCGACCAATACAGCTGTTATCAGTACGCAACCATCGGCTCCGGTAACCATCATATCCTGGCATCTAAACGGAGAGATTTCAAAATCTGGCCATAAGAGCAATAGAGAGTGAGATGCAAAATACTTACACTGTAAAATGGCACTTCTCCACCGAATATTTCCACCTCTTCCGAACATTTCGCTCTGAGGAAAGTCGCAGTGTGACGAGCGACACTTGCAACTGTGCCTAAGACGTGGCGTCCCACGGACAGCCAAGGATTTCTCAAATGTCCTTTGCAACAGGATTTTCTTCGACTCAACAAAAATATCTCCGTAGTATGTATATCTATGTATATGTATGTATATCTCTATGTATAGAAATTGATGGCAATAGAAGACGAGGGAAAACAAAATTCAATTTTCGTTTCCGAACAGACCACATACATTCGTACGAGGTCGTGGATACGAAAAATATTATGTCTTTGCACGCCACACCACCAAGGAGGAGGCTGGGGGATGGGTAAAAAATAGCTATTCTGCAAAACCTCGCTTATAGTATATTTTGCTTGTAGTTGCGTCACATTCCAAATACGTCGCTTCCAATTAGGTAAAAACCTTTTTCAATACAACAAAATCAATGACAATCGTGTATCCGGAAACGTGTTCAAATCACAACATAATACCGCGCATACTATTAGCAAATACGACGTGTAACAAGGCAAACGCCCACCCAACGTATTCCCAATTGGTGGCGAGTGCTGCGAACACAGCCCGGAAACAGCGGAATGATGATGTAGGCGACAATGGCAGCGAGAACGGACGGGAATCGACCGAGCCATCCGGACGAACGAGGCAACAGCCAGTTCCAGATTTTTTGCTCTCAATTACGAACGTTACTCCGTGCCACTCATTATACTGTAATTTACAGGCTCACGGACCTTCCTGCCCGCCACGAGGAACAAAATGAGTTTAATTAATTTTAATCATATTGTCATTAGTCTTTATTTTTTTTTCAGTTTGTTGGGCGCTAGTGGTCCTCAAAATATATTCGTTGCCCGGGTCACCATGAATTGCTATTTGCTCACGTGTGTATTTCATGAGCCTCGAGTGTCCGTGAACCAGTGTGCGGCCAGCAGATAAAAACTTTTGACAGGTTTAGAGATCACTATCAGATTATCAAAGATGAACGTTACTCTCGTAAGTAGGTGCTCGCTCTGGTAATGCTGCTACGGTGGTGTTTTAAATCTAAGTTATATATTTTAAATACACTCAATTTTTAAATAAACAAACCGAAAGTAAAATGCATTATTCAGGCAACGATATTTAAAACGCTAACGTTATAAAATCGATAAATCATACATTTCAAGTTTATTTCTTGTAATATTACGCTATGACAAAAATGTAAAACACCCTAACAAAAAACATAACAAAGCGAATCAAAGTAAAACTCAATAATTTTGAAAATACATTTATTCTTTACATTATTTTATCGTCATTGTCAATCAAAAGCTAAATGTACGTTCGTAGTTAATCATTTTTACTTTCATGTACTTTTTTGTTATATTTCAGACTCGGTTTTAAATTTTTGTATTTTTCACTTTTCGATAGCTTTGATGGAAAGAGAATTATATTGTTCCCCTTTTGGAACTCTGTTTGCCCCCGAGAAGATATTTACTATGCGATATGACCTCGACGATTAGTAACGGAAGAACAGTTACCTTTGCGGGCGATACGAATATTCTTTGCAATAAAGAAACAGTAAATAGTACTATATCAGAAATTTGAAATTGGTTTCTTAATAACAAATTAATAGTAAATGAAAAGAAAACTGTTTCAATACAGTTCTCCATTTCAAATAAACAGCTCGATACTTCTCTGAAGAAGAAGCGAGCCATTGACTGATGTTAAGGTAACAAAATGTTTGGCTTTTCAATTCAGTGAAACCTTAAATGGAACGTCCATTTAAATGAATTGAACACTAAATTAAGCTCTTTATGCTATGCTTTCAGAATTCTTTCAAATTCAGCCAGCCCTCACACTGCTCGTTGTGTATATTTCGCGAATGTTCATTCCCGTCTGAGATATGGCATACTATTTTGGGGAAATACATCTTATAGCTCTCAGACTTTTAGATTACAAAACAGAATTGTCCGAATAATAAGCAAATCCCATCCACGTGATTCTTGTAAGCCTCTCTTTATTAATCTAGGTATCTTACCATTACCTTATCTCTTAACATATGAATCAGTGGTTTTTGTCGAAAATGACTTACTTAAGGGCGGGGATATATTTTCAACAAACGCCGTTGTCTATAAATACAACACCCCACGTAATAATCATATTCATCAAGTAACAGTACCAACAGCTCAACAGGGAGGAAAAACCGGAGGAAGTATAAAGAAAACGAAGAAGGTGAAGGGAAAAGGAGATAAATTCCCTAGCTCCCTCCACAGAGAGCACTGAGCTTCGGCACGGCACGGCACGGCACGGCACGGCTGGGCTCTTTCACGCTGTCAATGGTCGCGGAGCCAGTGACCCCGTTGGTCTCCGGTGTCCCAGAACAGGGAGCATATTCCAGGCCAGACAAACAGCGGGCCTGTCTCCTGCCAGCTTTCTGTGTGCGCGGGGATCGGGTCAATCCCGTGGAACGTAGCGCGGACATGTCGGCCCCTCATCCCCCGCCGCTCCACCACTCACTACTTCGCACAGCCACTGTGTGCCGCCTGCGGAGGTCAGGCGGCGACCAAGGCTGCGGCGACGTATGGTACTTACTCGTACAGCGGCGCCGCTAGCGCGGAAATTGACCCGATTGATACGGTGGATATCTATAACTGACGCACTCCGATTGAGTACATAATAAATGGACATTATTTGCTTATTAAAATATTTTGAGATGGAAATCATACACATGCTGCGAACGCAGAGGGCGAATGGAAGTTGAAATACAAAATCTCGACTAGATAATATAAATATCATCCAGTATGAACAAATAATTCATTGTAGTAGTCGCCATGATAATGTAGAGATGATGTAATTGTGCTGTACGTTAATACAAATAAAGTTTCACTGAGTTTCACCCGCGCATCGCCTCTGAGCTACAAACCTCGCTAAGTCACATCTCTTTGCGTTCGACGCCAATGGTTTGTCATTGCCTATGCTTCAGCGTTGTGGCTCGCGGGTAGCAACGTGGTGTAAACCACCAGGCCTGCAGTACACACGTGGATTATTCTCTCGTACCTCATTTGCTGTATATGCAAGAAAATTCTGATGCGATTACGACTCACTAGTAAATATGAATGACACAAATATGCACATTGCGTATACTAAACTAAATCTATTTAAATACTTAAACACTTTTGATTCACGACTTTGGCACTTATTTCCTACTTGAAGTATGTCATCACGAAGTAACCTTTAAAAATAATGTCATATACATCGTGTATATGTCACGTTTTTTATAATATTTCCCAGTAAATTACACTATAAATGACATTAGATGTATTCTAAAACTGAAATATTTAATATTACAAAACTATTTTCTTTTATTAGGTCCACGGGTGATTGAGACAATTTTAGTACTGAAAGGAATTCTCTTAATCATGAACTAAAACTTATTTAAATTGGGCTATTGGTTTAAACAACTATCTGTGGTTTTGTTCTTGCTATAATATACATTCTGCAACGTGTACTGCAAATAGTACTTCATAAGATTGCATATAAACTTGGGCTCAATTATCCCAATCTTCAGGAGTTTCCCATTTCCCATTGATCCATTGGGCAAATGCGAAGATAATCTTTGGCATGTTGATTGGAAAAGTAGTAAACGTGTCCGTCCAATCAACTGTCATTATTTTTAAAATAATTAATTAAAAATTTAAAAGAACTCTTAGCTTGAACGAGTCCGATACAATTGAATTGGACAATGTCGTTGGTAATACTACACGTCTATCTAGGTGGTCGTATTAACGACCATTTCCATGGGGCCAATGGGCGTGGCCTCTCCTCTTTGTGCGTACGCCTATTGTTTTAAAGATATCACTTAAGATGGTTTTGACAATAGCAGTTGGATATAAACAGGGTGGGTTTAATGCTCTTAGGAGTGCCCAAAAATGATCACACTGTTGGAATCCTAAATAATATCGACATATTGAACATCTATAACAATTTTTTTCAAGCAGTTGGTAGCTACCTTTAAAATGGTCGATGGTTTGAATGCGTTGTTCTACAGAGTGCCATTCCACATCTGTGCCACAATACCAACGTCCCACGCCCCACGATCCGACTGGGATGTACAGAATTCTCGCCGTCCTCAGCGAGGAGTTTGTCTCAGGCAGCGCTTGCACTTCGTTCTGGGAAGCCGATACAACCAAAAAGACACAGAGCCCTTTCATCGGACGGCGAACACCATTAAACTCGTCCAAAGCCGGTGGTCACAGAGTAATGAGTGCAGTTGGGAGCTCGTAACACTTCAACTCATGGGGTTCTAGTCCGTATTTTCTAGAGAAGACGAGTTCCGATATTGGCTACTTTCTTTTTGCGGACAGCGCGTCCCCCACTCCGCAGTTCTTTACCGTCATGGACCCGTCTCTAGAGAGCTAAGAGAAAATTAAAAATATCATAATTATAAACGAATTAATGTTAATAAAAACAGCGAATCAAGGAGTAAATAAATACAGCATTTGATGTGATGATCTTCACAACAATATAAAAAGCCGGTTTGTTTCATATTTTATCTCTAGACAATTAAACAACAATATTTAAACTACATATACCGGCAATATCCAAACTACATATACCATACAATAGACATATTAACAGTTAAAATACAGGTATAGACTCATGTGGTAATTCGTTTGCCATAATAACGGTCCATGTAAAGTGTATCTATGGGTTTCACAAGCCATTTTTATTTGCTAAACATATTCATGGAAATAAAAAGTTTGATTACGTGTGGCTAGGGGCCCTTTTCAAATTTTTCATGGGGCCAATGGGCCCTGCCTCTCCTCTTTGTGCGCACGCCTATTGTTTTAAAGATTTCACTAAACATGGTTTTGACAATAGCAATTGGATATAAACAGGGCAGGT